ATAATAGCAATGATCTAGGAAGAAGGAAAAAAGTCAGTGATGTGGCTTCTAAAAGATTTCTTTCCATAGAGAATTTCAAATATAAACATTACAGTGGGCCAATCTTACTTAACACATCTAAACTAACTCACTGCTGTTGAAACTCTCCTTGGGTTTCCAAGGCAGTATTACTACGGAAGTAGATTGCCCAACCTTCCTTCCCAGGAGTGGCTGGTGGGTTTGAACCACCAGCCTTCTGGTTAGCAGTCAAACGCCTTAGGCACTACACCACCAGAACTCCTATCTTAGCACATAGGTATAATTAATGAATAAAATGCTCCTGAAGACTCATCTCAGAGCACTGCGATTAATTTATAAACCTAAATAAGGGAGACAGACTCTAAATATCTTAAGATCTTCTAAAAATATTTGCAACTAACATTTTTAAACTAAAAGTAATGTGTTGTAGAAAGATCAGGAGTTGCTAATATTTGATTACATGCTATTGCAGATAACTCATTTTTATTTCTATTCATTCCACACATTAATTTCAATAAATATTTTTACACTGTCATTTTCTTAATATTTATGACCAAGTTTTATTTACTTTTCCTCCCTGGTGAAAGGCTAATAAAATTTATACTTAGAAGATTTGCGTTCTTATTATTTAATTAACTGCAGACACTGTATAAATAATTTCCATACTGTACATTTGTATTAAAAACTATGTAAAGGTTTTGATTCCTTCTAAAATGTTTGTAAACATGTAATTTAAGCTTCTTAAATATTCAAAAATAAAAATGTAGAATATGCATATATATCTGTATACACACATACATAAACATGCACACATACTTAACACATGTCACAGCAATTTTAAGTATTGACTACTGACAGTGTAGTGGTTAAGAGCTTCTACTCAGATTTCCTGGGAAAGAATTACCTCTCTGTTACTCAGTAAGTGCTTTGGACAAGTTACTTAACCTACTTATGAATCATTTTCTGCATTTTAAAAAGTATACAATGAGTATTTCTACTAAGATACTATAAACAGTCCTTATTACATAGTAAGCACTCAAAAACTTAACGTCCATCTCATCTTTTGATTTATTCATTCTTTCATAATTTTTTATTAAACTGCTGTTGTTGGTAAATTCCTAGAGGAGATGCTAGCGAAACAACAATATAAATAATATGTCTTGCCCACAAAAAGTTTACCATGGAGATGGGAAATATGTTTATAAACAACTTCAAAGCAATATAATCATTTAATAATATGTAAAATGTAGAATGAGAATATAGATATCTACCTAGAAAAATACGTGCTGCTCCTAAAGTTTTAAACTTGAGTTGAGATTTTAAGAATATAGTAAAAGTAAGTTGTCTTTAAATTTTCCTCAAAACCAAACCAAACTCACTGCCGTCAAGTAATATCCAACTCATAGTGACCCCTCCTTGGGTTTCCGAGGTGGTATCTCTACCAAAGTAGGTTGCCCTATCTTCCTTCTGAGGAGTGGCTGGTGGGTTTGAACTTCTAGCCTTCTGGTTGGTAGTCAAATGCCTTAGGGACTACGCCACCAGAGTTCCTAAATTTTCCTCAAGAGCCCACATTTGTCTTTGAGCGTATACATAAACACACGTACTTACAGGTACTCTTCCATAGGTACAACTTTTGTTGTCATGTTTCCTTTCTTCACATTTAAACCAAAACTGAATTAATACAAAATAACATTTGTATCATACATATTTTTCAGGGATGAGTAAAGCAGTCGGGATTATGGAAAAAGGTAAAAGAGAAGTGAGAATAGTATTTGATGGTGACCTGGAAAAGCTCTAGAAAGCAGAGTTGCTCAATATTTTACTCCAAATGTGCAACAGAACAACTTACGGTGTTTTTTATAGAATTCAACTACCTAATGATCAACCTAGAATCTCGCGATATGTGATTTAAAGTAGTGTCTCCATTGACTCTAAAGTGAGATGTTAGCTCACAGGAAGATGCAAAGATGCCTTTGCTGTGCAGTGGTTAAGCACTCAGCTTCTAACTGAAAGGTAAATGGTTCCAACCTACCAGTTGCTCCAAGGTAGAAAGATGTAGCAATTTGCTTCCGTAAAGATTACAGTCTTGGTAACTTACGATACAGTTCTTCTCTGTCTTATTCGATCATTAAAGTTGGAATTCACTTTGATAGCAATGAGTTTGGTTGTTGGTATATACATATTTAAGCTCAAATTATTAAAATTTATTTTAAAATTTAAAATATTTTAGTAAGATCCTATAATGAACTGGACAGTATTTCACTGCTATTCATACTGGGGGTTCAAACCCACCAGCCACTCCTTGGAAGGAAGGTTGAGCAATCTATTTCCGTAGTGATACCACCTCGGAAACCCAAGGGGTTGCTAAGAGTCAGGTCCGACTCGACGGCACATAACAACAATATTTTTAGAAGTAAATTACTAGGTCCTTCTTCCTAGTCTGTCTTAGTCTGGAAGCTTCACTGAAAACTTCACCATGGGTGACCCTGCTGGTGTTTAAAATACCAGTGGCATAGCCTCCAGCATCACAGCAACACCCAAGCCACCACCATACGACAACTGACAGACAACTGGTGATCAAAACGGAGGAGACTAGAATGGATGTATAAAGAGACTCAGCAACTTGCTCTTGAACATAAAGTAGCTAAAGCAAGTGGAAGGAATGACGAAGTAAAAGAGCTGAACACAAGATTTCAAAGGGCGGCTTGAGAAGATAAAGCAGAGTATTATCATGAAATATGCAAACATCTGGAGCAAGAAAACTAAAAAGCAAGAACATGCTTGGCATTTCTCAAGCTGAGAAAAAATTCAAGCCTTGAGTTGCAATATTGAAGGGTTCTATGGACAAAATAGTGAATGATGCAGGGGGCATCAATATGGGATGGAAGGAATACACAGAGTCACTGTATGTAAAAGAACAGGTCAATGTTCAACTATTTCAAGAGGTTGCATATAATCAAGAGCCAATTTTACAGAAGGAAGAAGTTCAAGCTTCACTAAAGGCACTTTGAGGACTAAAGTGTGCCTGACCCAAGCCATGGTATTTTCAATCACCTCATCTGTGTGTGAAAGCTGGACTTTAACTAATGAAGACCACAGAAAGATTGATGCCTTTGAATTCTGGTGATGACAAAGACTATTGAATATATCATAAATTGCCAGAAAAAGGAGCAAAACTGTCTTGGAAGAAGTGCAGCCAGGATGTTCCTTAGAAGCAAGGATGGCGAGACACTGTCTCACGTACTTTGGACATGTTATGAGGAGGGATTAGTCCCTGGAGAAGGCCATCATGCTTGGTACAGTAGAGAGTCTGAAAAAAAAAGAGGAAGACCCTCAACAAGATGGACTGACATAATGGCTACAAAGATGGGCTCAAACATAGCAATGATTGTGAGGATGGCACAAGACTGGGCAGGGTTTTATTCTGTTGTACATAGGGTCAACTGTGTGTTGGAACCAACCCGACAGGCACCTAACAACCACAACCACAATAATGAAATAAGTAATTTGTTGATCCATTAATCTGGTGCTTAGAAATAAAAGACTCTATTCAATTAAGGAAAAATTGGATAGTCTTCCTCATCACAATAACATAGAAACAATTTCTAGTTATTTGTTTTAAAATTTGCAAGTAATTGACTTCAATGAAATGCCATTGATCTGGATGTTTTAATTACCATAGTCTGCAACAATCTTAGGAGCTCTGGTAGCATAGTGCCTAAGGCACTTGACTGCTAACCAGAAGCCTGGTGGTTCAAACGCACCAGGCACTCCTCAGAAGGAAGGTTGGGCAATCTACTTCCATAGTGATACTGCTTTGGAAACCCAAGGAGGAGTCGCTATGAGTCGGGTCCGACTTGACGGCACATAACAACAACAACAGCAACAATCTTAATTTATAGTAAATACTGACCTCAATCCATTCTAAGGCAAAACCCTGCATCAGGATGAGCTAATTAATTTAAAATACATACAATTTGGAAATGAATATAAGATTTCTCATAAATAACAATCAAATTTGCATCTATTACAAAGGAATCCATATGCCATTACTAGGATTTTTCATTTGTTTGTTTTTTTTAGGAGATGGCTCATTTATTTGAGTTCAAGGCATTTCTAGGGATTAACTAACAGTTGGTTCTAAACAGTGCCTGACTGAAATATCTGCTATCAGTTCTGAACCATTGGCCATTTAGCTCCAGGGGACGTCTTGGGCCTCATTGAAAAGTGCTTCTAAATTCTAGCATTTTCTAATGCTTTCTGTTCATAGCAATTAAACTCCAGTAGGGAGCTCTGGTAGCATAGTGCCTAAGGCACTTGACTGCTAACCGGGAGGCTGGCGGTTCAAACCCACCAGTCACTCCTCCGAAGGAAGGTTGGGCAATCTACTTCTGTAGTGATACCGCCT